ATGATGATTTAAGGCGAAGAACGTTGCGACGAAAGGATATTTTCGCGGAGCTCCACCATGAGAAGCTGACGACTCTAGAGCTAATGATGGCTACGTACAACCCATTTGCCAAGCAATACCTCAACCACGGAGAGAAAATCCCAAGGGATATGGCAGAGGGAAACGACTACATCAACGTTGTGTACCATCTACATGCTGACAAGCGCAGAACGGGGACTACCAATCTACATACTGTGAGCGAGGTTGGTGCCGTAATGGTCGAGGATGGAAACTTTAACAAGTATCGGGATCTACAGCTGTACACCAAGCCGCACGGACTATTGCGTATTTTCGAGACCAACCCGATGTATGATCCGCTACAGTATCCCTTGCTATTCCCGATGGAAGAGCACGGTTGGACATTTACTGATACCGACGCCAACGGACAAAAGTATCGAGATAAAACAAAGATGTCTCTGCGAGAGTTTGTTGCGTATCGACTATTTCCGAAAGATGACGATGGGGCCGCTTTACACCACGGTGGTCGGCTCTTCCAGCAGTGGTGTGTCGACCAACGAGCGAAAGTGGAGCAGGAATTAATGCGGTGGGCTTCCAAAAACCAACAGACACTACGGGCGGAGCTTTACACCGGCGTAGCAGACGCATATCTGGATGAGACTACCTTGGTTTTAGGTGAGGGCGAGGGGCTAATTTCCGAGTACAATCGAGAAACTCGCCGTTTAGAAACCCCAAGGTCTACTCGCACTACAGAACAGCATTTCTTAGAGCGCGTTGGCAAGAAAATCATTCTCCCAGCGACATTCACTGGTGGGCTCAGGCAGATGTACAAGTCTTATCAGAACTCAATAACGATTGTTCGCGAATACGGAAAACCGGATATATTTTCAACGATGACGTGCAATCCGGAGTGGGAGGAAATTGTCAGCGGTATTCCTGGCGGCTATACCGCACAAGATCGTCCTGATTTAGTAGCCCGGATTTGGCAGCTAAAACTCCGCGCCCTGTTAAAGGATTTGGACGAGGGGGTACTTGGTCGCGTCCAAGCTCGCATTTACGTTGTTGAATCCCAAAAGCGAGGCCTCCCTCACGCGCATATCTTGATCATTTTGGCGGACGAAGACAAACCACGGACACGAGATATCATCGACAAAATGGTCTCTGCAGAGATTCCTGACGAAGTCGGCAACCCCGATCTTTATAAGACAGTGATGACGTGTGATGCATGGTCCATGTGGACACCTAAATCCCCGGTGCGCCTGTATGAAGGACGGCAAGTGCTCCAAAGAATTTCCAAAACCTTTGGCGGAGATTACACGAGCAAGTGCCGATGGGTATCCAGTCTACGGGCGTCGCCGTCGGTCGGAGGGTGTGTTAAAATTTCGAGGTCGGGAGTATGACAACGCGACGGCAAACCAATGGGTTGTACCTTACAATCCGTACTTCTCGCAGAAGTACAACTGTCATATCAACGTGGAGATTTGTACGGCTATCACGGCTGTGAAGTATCTATACAAATATGTGTACAAGGGTTCCGATAAGGCAGTACTCACGGTTGAAGCCGTGAGGGGGGATGGTGAGCAGATGGGCAGACCACGCGACGAGCCAAATGAGGTGTTGCGGTATCTCAATCCACGGTACATATCTCCTGTTGAAGCTTGCATGCGGCTTCTTGACTTTACCGTTCAAGGAAAGAGTCATTCCGTCGAGCAGCTCACAGTGCATCTGGAACAGAGGCAGATGATTGCCTTTCGGACTAGCGACCGACCTGAGACCGTTCTCGCGAATGGCGAGCACACGATACTTACTCGCTTCTTCGATTTGTGTGCCAGCGAGGCCCCGGAAAATCAAATCGCAAAAACAATGCTTTACCAGGAGGTACCGAAACAATTCAGTTGGAAGGATAAGCAATGGACCCGTCGTACCAAATTTCAAGCATCGCTCGGAAGACTGATTCACGTGTCGATACGGGATGCTGAGCGTTTTTTTCTTCGCGTGATGCTGTGTCATCGCAGAGGTCCAACTTCATTCGAAGATTTAAGGACGGTAGGTGGCGTTGTTCACCCGAACTATGAGACGGCTGCCCTGCATACCGGCTACGTTCAAAACGACGAAGAGTGGGTTGCGTGTATGACCGAGGCTGCCGCATATCAAATGCCCTACCAGCTTCGGCAGTTGTTTGCTACGCTTTTGGTGTACTAAATGCCTACCGATGTTCGCGGTTTGTGGAATACGTTCTACAAGGATTTGTCTGAGGACTTTCTACACAGATACCGCAACCTGCTCGATCCAGTTCAGGGCTCCGTTATTATGTTCGGGACGCTGAAAAGTATTAACGACCTTTTGCGAGTTAGCGGGTACTCCGTTCAGGATTTTGATCTACCTCAACTCAGCGATCATCCAAGATTAGTACTCCAGTCTCTTCAGGAAAACTCACTAATTCGCCGCGAGTTAACAGGATACGACCGGGCTACGTTGGAGGAAATTGTGCGCGCTGGAAGTCGACTCAATGCTGGGCAACAAGCAATCTATGGCCAAATCACTGCCGCAGTAAGCGATCCGGTGGTTGGCAAAAAGCTGTTCTTCATTGACGGACCTGGGGGAACAGGAAAATCTTCCTTACTTCGACACATACTGGCAAGGGTGCGGCTTGACGGCAAAATTGCTCTAGCAGCTGCGTCCAGCGGCATCGCGTCACTACTTCTTATGGGCGGGAAAACAGCACATTCCACCTTCAAGATACCACTGAAGTTAGACAAGGACTCGACTTGCTCTATTTCCAAGCGATCACATTTGCGAAAACTGATCGAGAAGGCGAGCTTGGTTATCTGGGATGAAGCACCGATGACCCATCGGCATGCATTTGAAGCCGTGGATCGGACGCTACGAGACATCCTAGGCAACCCCCGCGAGCCTTTTGGGGGTAAGGTGTTTGTTCTTTCTGGAGATTTCCAGCAAATTCTTCCGGTGGTAAAGAGAGGCACGCCTGCGGAAACAGTTGATGCCTGTCTCAAGTCATCCGACCTTTGGCCTCATTTCCAACAGGTGCGGCTTTCGGAGAACATGCGCGTCCAAACAGCGGATAACCTGACAAGCGCTGACGATATTGCTCAATTTTCAGAGTTCTTGCTAAGGGTCGGAGAAGGGAGACACGAAATCGACCGGGTCCTGGGCGGAGAGCTCATGAAACTACCCCGTGATATGCTACTGGATAACCCTCCGGACGAGCCAGATGAAGATGCTGACATTGCGTCTGGTACAATTCCCAAAGGAATGACCAGAATGATTGATTTCATGTATGCTGATGTGAACGATCCTGATGTCGCTACAGACGAGTACTTCGCCAACCGTACAATCTTGACGACAACTAACGCATTAGTCCACCGCATCAACGAGGCTGTAATGGGCCCTCCCAAGTTACATATGTAGGTAGTTTTATAGGTTCTTTGTAGTGGTTCACACCATTACATAAGTAGGTAGATTTGCATTACAAAAGTAGGAGCAGCAGCACACGAGTAGCGTGTGCTGAACTGCCGTCACCTTATTGGTTGAAATATGGGGAGCCAGACCCATATTCAACCAAGAAGGAGTTGACGTGTATTTGAGTGGTCAGGGCAAGCCGCCCTGGACCTTAATAAAAACAGAGTTGATTTTCCTTCAGACTAAGTACTTGGTTTTAGTATCACTTGACTTGTACGCTTCCTCATCACTACGTGTAAGCAAGTAACGGACACCCCAGGCCCGTTACAGAGGCGGTTTCGGGTCGACTTCAAACGACCGCTCATGAATACTTATCTGCTGACTCCGTCGAAGACGATGACGGAAGTGTCTTTGAACAAGAGTTTCTTCATTCCGTCAACATTAACGGAATCCCGCCCCACAGGCTCATACTAAAGAAAGGCATTCCCATCATGATGATGAGAAGCCTGAACCCGGATTTGGGGCTTTGTAACGGTACGCGCCTGAGGATCGTTGACCTAAAGCCTCACGTCATTTACGCAACAATCATGACGGGGGAGCGGCGGGGTCAGCATGTTCTAATTCCGCGGATTATTTTTGTCAGCGACGATGATACTCGAGAGTTTCCGTTTCGCCTACGTCGAAAGCAGATCCCTGTACAGCCAGCGTTTGCAACGACTATCAACAAGGCCCAAGGTCAAACCGTTATGAATCTAGGGCTATATCTTGCTACACCGTGTTTCTCACATGGCCAGCTGTACGTCGCCCTATCAGGGGCTACATCACGCTCGAATTTTCGAGCCCTCATTGAATATCCGGAACAGGAGGAGGAAGATGGAGTCTACACAAGCAATATCGTTTTCCGACAAATTTTTGACATGTAAACATACTTTTTTTACATTTTACTTCGTTACATCATTAAGACAATTTAATTTAAAAAGTAAAACATGAGGCACCGGATTGGGAGCGAATATATTGTATCGCTGCTATTTTCGATTTAGAAATCATTGTTTGTCCCACCCCCTACTCCCCACCCCGCCAGAGCGAAGCGGATGCGGAAAAAAACTAAAGGGTGATTTAACAAAAACTACCGCCGCGTAGCGGCGGCGCTCGGCTAGTTCAAAAGTACAGGAGATTTGTAAAGGGGTGACTAACTGAATAGGACCGAAACGGCAAATTTGGTCGGAATTCACATCGAATCACCGTGCTCACTTTAAGTACGATATTGGATTTAAAAGGATCGGGAGGGTACGACCTGTAGCTGTTCCGAAAAGCTTGATTTTTGTATCGGGAGACTCAGCTTATTGACCGGAATTCGCTCTGGTCTGATTCAGTCTGGCCATTCTGGAGTGATGGTTTTGCTTTGAAGGGCTTTTAAAATCCGAAGGCTATAAAATAAACTTTCTCAGATTATCTTGTGAAAATAGAGATTGCGAATGTCTTTGGAGCGAAAATCATTTACTACAGTTTTTCGGGCTGGCTTGTCGCAGCGGAGGTCGAACCGAAAAAATCAGGATTCCCCCGAAGTCATTTTGAAGATTGCTGTGGACACCGTTGGTAAAGTGTGCGAATGTGGCTCTCCGTTTGTGTGACAGTGATGGCGATGGCTGTGGAGGCCACCCACGCGTGGACGTTCGATGCGTCGGAGGTGGCGCCTCCCCAGGACATCGTGGGCGAACATCAGTCCCTGCAGCGCTCGTGGACCGTCTCCAGCTTCGCAAAGCTGGAGCAGCTGTACCTGGCTGTTCCTGGTCGCGTCTTCGTGGAGCTGGACCCTTCCTTGCTTCCGGTGACGGAGGCCCCGCTGACGGAATCCCCGGCGACAGAGTCACCTTCAACGGAAAATCCCGTTACCGAAACGCCGGGAGTTGTCTCCGGTGTGACCCCTGGTGTTGTTCCCGGCGTGGTCCCGGGTGTCGTTCCCGGATTTGTGCCCGGTGCGGTGCCCACGGGTTCGATTGCCGAGTCGGGCTCAGGCTGGAGCGATAGCAGCCTGGCAGGCGAGACGATCGAGATTCCTACTATGATGCTACGCAAGCACCATCACCGCCACGACGATGAAGACGAGGAGTCGTCGCAGGGCGAGGAGACGGTTGTAGCCATGATCGTAGTTACAGGCAACTCGACGGATTTGCTAAACATGGTTGAGGCCACGCCTCTGCACCCGCGCCGTAACGATGGACTCAAGCTTCACCTGAAAAACGAGGACGCGTACGGCGAGGGGTACGTGCTGACGCAGATTTACCTGTTTGATAAAAACCTGCTGCGACGTGTGACCACGACCTTCTCGGGAGACGTTGTGCTTACCGACAATGTGGTAACGCTCGACGACGCTGTAGCGGACGTCAAGTTTGCGTGCGTGGGCGACGGCAACTTGTATCTTGAATCGAAATCCAATGCCACGCTGGGATCGATGGAGGTGGAAATCACGGGTAGCGGTCTGGTGCAGTTGCAGATTCCCTCTGTGAACCTTGAGGGCAACCTGAACGTGGTAGTCGCCGGTAGTGGCGCAGTGGCGCTAGTCACGGACGCTATCGCGGTTGGCGCGGTGAAGACGACGCTTTCTGGGTCAGGTGATATTTTCATGGACACGAGCAATTTGTACGCACACAAGCTCGAGGCTTCAGTGTACGGATCTGGTGTAGCCAGCTTCGCTACGCCAGGCTCAGTAGAAAAGGAGACGATGACACTGTCGGGCCCAGGTCAACTGCTTGCTGGCTCGATCGTAGCACGCAAGTCAAATGTGGACGTGTGGGGCGATGGTGAGCTTCTTGTGCAGGTAACTGACAAGCTGACGGTGTCAACATCGGTGTGGGGCAAGGTAGGCTACGTAAACGAGCCGCCTACCGACGTCAAGATTAAGGGATGGTGGTTCTGGCGCGAGGCTAGCTCCATCGTGTACCCTGCGGTCGCTAACAAAGTGGTGGTTTACGAGGTAGTGACCGTACCAGCCAAGTACCCAGTGTACTACTCAATTGAGACGGCCGAGTCAGCACTGTCAGACGACCCGGACTATGCTTTCGTTGCGACTGAACAAGCCAGCGTGGCGCAACTGATGAACACGTCGCTGTCGAGCGTGCAACACGCAGCCACGGCGTCGACAATCTCGCACAATCTATTCTACGCTTTCGTCGGTGTGAGTGTCGTGGTTGTAAACGTGGTTTCTGCGCGTTCGTGGGCGCAGCGTCATGCACGTCGCCACTACACGCGTCTTCTGTAGTGTCTTGACGAGAAGTCCACACGAGGAGCAATAGTTTTGTTGAGCAGCTTTCCAGACCTTCGAATCGGAGTCCGATGTGAGTTGCCCGCCATAAAGTTGAAAATGAAATTGCAAAGATTTGGTGACGAAAGTCGATGGTTTGTAAAGTTACGTGTACGCATACCACCAGATTTGAAATCAGAACCATGGGTAAAATCTGCGAAATCTCGACCCACGCAGTTGCTCAAAGAGGAAACGAAAGGGAAAGATCATTATTCGATATTAGCCTTGAAACGCACAAGTCAAGATGGCCTTCACCGACGTGATTCTCGCCCCGTACGCTACTGCCAAAGATGTCGCGCAGAGTATGAACCCCGTGATGCTGGCCGCGCTTGTCGCCATCGTCGTGGTCGTCAACGTGGTCGCGGCGAAGTCTTGGCAGGCACACCGCAGCCGTCTCGAGTACAGCCCCTTGCTGTAGACGCTTAAATTCCCAGATTCGACGCCCAGGACAAGCAGCGCGCGACCAGAGACAGAACAGGTGCTGGGGCGGGCGTAATTTTCTAATGCAGAAAACCGAAATGGCTGTAGCGAAATAAAAGGCGCATACTTCGCTCTGCTGTAACCAACGTCGAACGTTTACTTCATTGACAGTTTGACTTGTTCACTCAAGCTTTTTCTTTTATACATGTGCTACGCTTTTTCTTTTGTACATGTAGTACGAACAAGCAGTCCAATCGAAAAAATAGCTTTAAAAAGCCCGCTTGTGGAGGAGTCCGATTGGCATAAGGAATTCAGTACATGTACTTTAAGTACAGGAAGTACCATGGTATGTATTAATACTTTAATGAAATGCTTGTCATAAAGGAGCAGGAAATATTACAGTGAAGTTCTTGTCAAAAAGGAGCAGATGTTATTTACCGAGGTGCAGACTGATGTCCCTTTGCCATTATACAGTAGCGCTTCAATTATATGTTTGCGATCGACTTAAATCGATTTAAGGAGACCGCTATCATAGCCGTTGCCTCCCAATGACGACGATTAGCAAAATCTTGGCAGTACTCTCAGCGACGTGGTGTCTGAGTCTGATAGTGGAGGTCATTCTGAATCAATGTTTCAAGCTCCTCCAGGCGCTGCAGATCAATGTGCGGCTGCATCTGCCACGATGCCAGATATATGGTCACGGTCTCATGTTTAAAGCACTCGAAGATGTCGCTAGCGATAAGTGACTTTGCCACCAGCTCGTGCTTATACATCATCAGCACCTCAAGCAATAGCGTCCCTGTCAAAACAAGCAATTGTCAGTTATTCATTTCACTGCCTCAATAATGCCAACTCCCGACTCATACCATATCGTTGCTTGCGCTTCTCGTCCAGGCTGTTTGCTTGACCATCCGTTACCAGCCGCTGCATCCGCGCAAAAATGTCTGCCTACGTTGTGGAGATTTTTGTCAGCATGGCAGCCTGTGAAACAACTATCGCACGAAGAACGCACCAGGCCATCTACCTCATCTTGAAGGCGCTTGCTGCACCTATGCGCCAGATCCCATAACTGTCATCGGCCGCACCAAACAGCACATCGCATTAGATCTTTTCTTGAAAGCGTGAAGGTTGCTGCACTACGCACACGTGAAGACGCACGGTGTCGAATTTGCTCACTATCAGCAAGCGATCCCCAGTGCTCACCAGTAAGGTATCTGTCCAAAATACAACGTTGTTAGGCGGCCAATACGTAGCCAGCAGTCACGCTACGCACGTTGTTTTTTGCAAGCTGTCTGCAAGCTTGGCGAGCTGCTGTTGGCCCCGCGCGCAGGCTGCCTGCCACTCCTGGTCGAGCTTCTTCCACGGACTCAGCCACCAGCAGGCGTTTCTCGCTACCATTTAGCTGTTAATTGTGTGAAACAAATCCTTTACTTCGACATACTCATGCACTTCGATAGGTAACGGAGAGTTGCACTGATACACGCCTGGATTGGTAGAAATTCGCCTTAATTTCGAGTATCGCGAAAAAATTCTATTGCCGCCAGAATCTCGCTCCCTGCCCGACCACGTCCCGCGTTCTGCAGCTTGTGCGTCGTGTACTCCACCACTTGACACCAGTCGTTCGCCAAAACGCCCCCCCCCAACCGGAGATAACGCTCTGCGATAGAGCATAGCTATTTTTTTTATAGCCGATCTGCCAGAGTCGCTTGCCGCCACTGGGCCATTACTCATGGTTTCTACGATGCAGACGAAGGTGAACCGGGTGAGTATGGCTGCGTCATCGTCGTCTCCGCTGTCATTACGGACCACACCAGCATCGTCGCAGATTTCACGCTCGAAGACACGCAAGACACTCAAAGTGAAGAAAAAGAAAGAACCTGCCAACAGCGCACTGGTGTTGGTGGGTGTGATCATTTTTGGTGTATTATTGGCCCTCGTGGTCATGGCCTTCTTCGCCTATGCGCCACTGCTGTGTGCGTCGTGGCTCGGCATCATGTATGTCATCGGACTGTATTTGTCCACGGAGTCTTCTAAGTGGCGCTGGCATGATGCACAGGAGTTCGAGAATCGTTTTTGGACGGGCACTGCCTTCATGTTCAGTGCTGCGCTGCTGTACATCAAGGACTCGCCTCTCGCTGTAGGCCAGTGGAACTCGACGCTCGGCCTAGTGCTAGTCTTTGGCTTCACCATGAGCGTTCACTTCTTCGACAGGTTCTTGCACAGACAGGAGATCAGTCGCCGGCCGAGACTGAAGGAGGTTTCGAGACAATTTTCGCATAATTTATTCAAGTACAAGGCCACAGCAGAGGAAAAAACAAGTCTCGTCATGGAGTGCGTTAGTCACATCGACCGTCATTATTTACCCAGCACCATCAATAATATGCTCAACTTTGCCGAGGTCAAGCGACGCGAGCTCAAGATCTTCCGAATTCTCGCAGGAGCGGGGAAGGACGAGCTGAATTACATCCTAAATCACACTCAGCTGGCACTGCTCTTTTACAAAGTGAAGGACCACTCGAACGTGCGCGAGGACCAAAGTCGGACGCTGATTCTTGACTTGCTGTGCACCACACGGCTGACAGATTTGTCGGTGATGTCTCGAGCTGTTCTGCTTGACGCTTTGATGGTGATGAAGATCAGTGCCCACCCGATGGCTGAAAAATGGGTGCGCAATATTATTCTGAAGACGCAGGGCGATGACCTGAGCAATCTGAAAACGTACACGGATGCGAAGGGCGATTTTCACAGTATGCACAAGCTAGTATTTAACGATGTTCGTAGTCCGACAATCCGTGCTGATATTCTAAGCCACATCCAGCGTGAAGCAAGCGTACAGATTGCACACATGCGGCTTGGAACAAAGCGGGGCCGCAGTCGCAAGCAGCAAGCATGGCGAAAGGTGTTGAGCGATGTGGATGATACGTTGTATTCTTCGGGTGGACGATACCCAGCAGGGTTAGACACGCGCTACCCTCGACACACTCTGTACCCGGGAGTGCTTCCTTTCTATCGTGAGCTAGATATGGGCACGGTGGGACCCGATGACTGGACAGATGATCGAGTGGGCAACCTGGTGTTTCTCTCCGCACGACCACATGTGTACAAGGACGTATCCGAAAAGAAGTCATATGCAAAGTTTGCCGCCCTGTACGAACTGATGGGTATGCACACGTTGCCTACCATGCTTGCAGGCAATCTGAAATCAGGCCGTGCTTTCATGTGGCAAGGTGACCTGGAGCCCATGGCACAGAAGAAGTTTGAGAACTTCTGCGAATTCTACCAACTTTACCCAGAGTTCAAGCACGTATTTGTCGGCGACAACGGCCAAGGTGACGTTCGTGCGGCGGAGCTTATTGTTGAGAAGTTTGGTTCTGATGCGTTGGAGGCTGCTTTTTTCCAGCGTGTGCAGCCAATGGAAAGGGTGTTTAATTATCATTCGAGAGAGGACCTGGTCCGTTGGCGCAAGATGAACATACTCTTCTTTGATACTTATGTGGGTGCAGCTGTCGAGGCTTTCGGCATGAAAATGATTCGACTTAGCGGACTGAAAAAGATCTGTGATGACGCTGGGAAGTCGTTCGAGGCGATTCACTCATGGCTAACGCCACAAAGTCGAGAACGTGCAAGACTACTGCTGAACCGTGACCTCGCCGCGGCAAATGTACTTATGTCAAAGAAGTTTGATCCTTCCCCTTTGGTTATGAAGCCGCAAGTGTTCACTCTGAACTCGAACGTTCGCACTCCGATCGGACGAGGCATAGTTCGTAAATATCGCGGTATCGATGGCATTTATCGCGTGGATTTGACAGATTGGCCATCATCAGCTCGCCAAAAACGCGTTGAAGCTTTCTTCCCGGACGAAAGTCTTGTAGCTTACGTCCCTTCGGACTCCTCGGCTATTTCAAAGAGTTTATTAAATTACGTCAAGTTTTACCACCCACCGCCTGCCCGAATATTTGCGCCACACAGTCTAGTGAAAACGCTATTTGGTATTGGACGTGTGGTGTCCTACCGCGCCGAAGATGAAATCTACACAGTATCCATTCCTGGTGACCAGATTATGCTTCACGTAACGGCATTTTTGATCGCAGATTCGCTGCAGCCAGTGGATGACGATTTTTTGAAGAGCTACGTAATGAATGGCTCTACATCACCGCGAATGTTCGCTGGTGTACGTTCTGGCATTGGCTTCATTACGAAGAAACTGATTACGTTTGTACCTGGTGGGTCTGGACTCAAACCTTTGTTTGCGATGTCGGTAGTTGTTGATTCTCCGTTTGGGCGCGGTGCCGTTGTGCACTTTCGCGAAGAAGATCGTGTCTACGAGCTGCGGCTGTTCCACAGCGATAGCAAGACCCGAAGTGGTGAGCTGCCGTCACCAATTAGTGTATTTGTGCAAGAGCGAGACCTGCAGCTGTCACCAGTGTCTCCGCCTCGAAGCTTTTTCTCAATGCTTGGATTGCGCTCTGGCAGAAATATTACGACGCAAACTGCGGAACCTGCTCCAGTTGGCTCTTATGTTATTACACCATACGGCAAGGGAATTGTAACTAGCTACCGTGCAGCAGACGAAGTGTATGCAGTAGAGTTGACGGACTGGAATCTTGCGGACGGCCACCATGTGACTACCTATCTAATGAAAGACTTCATCAATCCTATAGCTGGGGCTTTAAAGGATGTACCATCGCTCACATTCTCCTCTGGGGAGGTCTCTTCGGAGAAAAGAGGTTCTGCGCCGCCAGGAAGTGGTGGTATTTTCCAATTGTTCCGATATGGCTTTTCGACGCTCGCTTCTGCATCTGACGAAGTTGTACGCCCCTATGCGGAGGAGGATGGTGTCAAACGTGATATTGAAACAGTATTCGGTCTGGCGAATACGGCCATGAGCAAGCCATACCACGGATGCCTGAGGGCAAAGCTCGTGAATCCGGACTATAGTGGTGTTGTGGCATACGTTCAGGTCAATTCAACCAAGGAGATTCCAGTGCCGTTTTCGCAGGGAAGACGCAACACGCTCGAGCTGTTGGTGAGCCCGCTCAGCTACCTCCTGTCTGGAAACAACGACAATATTTTATCGGATGACGTAGATCCGAATTTTACAAAGACTTTGTTTGGGAAAGGGTCCCTCGTAACAACACCGTTTGGCGAGGGAACCGTTCGCTTACATCGCCGCCTAGACGACATTTACGTGGTGGATATGCCAGGCATGCACGGTTATTTTCGCGTGAGTAGCCTCCAACGACCAGTGCGTGGAGTGGTGGGGAAGCCTGTCGATACAACTTATGGATCGGGAGTGTTAGAACAAGTGCGTGAAGATGACGGTATACATGTGGTGGTCCTTAGACTCGGACTTATGTCGGCGCAAGCTCGTGCATATCTGCACCCGACTAGTGTGTTCGGAGCGATCAAGGCATCTCGCGGTGATGTGGTGATGACTCCTTTCGGTTCAGGCGTTGTGATGCAGCACCGTCCTCACGATGGCTACTACGGCGTGGCGTTAGATTGGGACACTAAAGGCCACAGCCACACGTCAGCCTATATTAGCGAAAGCAGTATCGTGCGCACCGGATTGGTCGAGAACAACTCAACTGGCTGCGTCGTCATGTAAACCTCTTGGATACTTATCATTGTTGCTAGAGTTCTTCATTTATTCACTTCGAAGAATGCTACAATCAAGATTTCGGTCGTAGAGTGCCTACGGCATTTAATGACACTCACATTATTTTTTGTTAGGATTGGAAAACCTGGATAAACACATTTAGGCCGTTCGATCTAAGCTAAAACCAGCTGTAAAGAGCTGGAATTTTTTATTCCGCTAAGAAACACAAAAAATGACATCCAGCAGGATAGTTCCAAACGACTGGTTTCAAAATTCAGCTCTGGGTTGAATTTTGATTCGTCCTCCTTTGCCCCTTAAAACAGTGACAGTCGGATGGAGCAGCAGACGAAGAAACAAAGGGCGACCTGGAGGCGTGTGGATAAAAAGGCGCTGCTTAAGTGCTACCTTGCAGCGCGCAGCGATGCTTTCTTAAAAAGCGACAAAGGTGTCAAGTCAAAGGGCTTGGCGATCGCAGACGCCTTCAAATCCAGCCTTTTTCTGATGTGTGACGGGTCACACAGCACCTTGCGCTAGAGGAAGTTATCTTCCGAGAGTATACAAACTCTCAGTGAACGGCAGCTCACAGGTCCCCTCTTTAATTAAAGAGAGCGAAGTGACCTAAATAAGGTAGATTGCAAACTGAGTATATTTATAGGTAGGTTAAGTTTGGGTTTAATACAAACTGTTAGTTACCTATAGAAATGCAATGTCATTTAACCAATGGTTGGCTTTGAACGACCTTGGTACCTTGTACCAAATATCTCGGAGTATGACGTGTCATACACCTGAAGTGTGGATTGTCACACTTCATGTAACCAGGGTACACTTAGGGCTACGTACCCCGTTACATCCCCCCCCACTTAGGTTCGGTTTACCGACCAATCAGAATGAAGAGGTGTTCGTCACAAACTCTCATTCTCAAAGTGGTAAACCATCGACTTGGCCGCACGAGCGCGGCGGAGGATCACTTCACAGTTAGAGCCTCGAGCAGCAACCTGTGCGCTCTTCGTCTAGGTCTCCAATTCGACCGTTACCATGCCTCGTGGCACTGCAAAGAGCGGTGCTAAGACACGCTCCAAGGCTGCTGCCGGTAAGGCGCAAGCCAAGAGCACTAAGCCTCACGGCAAAGGCTCTGCACTTAAGGAGGCTGCTCAGGTGGCCTCCGAGGCGATCGGTTCCTCGGGTGACGCGGCTGTGTACAAGCGCGCAAGCAAGCGCCGCAGCCCGTCGCCCTCATCTTCAGACAATCGTCCGAACCCTCGGTTCGTAGAACGCGAGTTCAACTCGGACAGTGAGGACGATGCCGAGTCCGGGAGCACTCATGATGCTCCTGCGGGCTCTGTGGGAGGGCACAACCCAGTGCCCAGTGAACACAAAGATGACAGCGTGCAGTCGCCCGCTAGTGATCAAGGTGATCACAGTCCTAGGACCTCTGTGCGCACTGAGAGTCCGGCCGTCAAGGCTAAGGACGCTCTTAAAGCCGGTGGCGGTGAGGAAGGGAATCCTCGCAAACGTCTCTCGCTTGCCGAGGGTCTTGCGCGTGCTAAGGCCTCCAAAGCCGAAGGCGCCAAGCCCTCAAAGAAGCGTACTGCCTCTAAGTCTCCACTCCGCGAGGAGAAGGAGACTCGTCGCTCCTATCGGAGTATCTTCGACTCCTCGGATGAAGAGGAGGAGAAGGAGGAAGAAGAGGAAGAGAAGGGTGCTATCGTTGAGCCCCGGGAGGTCTCGAATGACATCGACCAGCAGCAGGAGAATTTCCAAGCTGCCCAGCGTGTGCGTGGGGGTTCGGTGGCGGCACCCGTCAGCCAGGGAGCTGCCATCAACTCAAGAGGGTATTGGCCTCCCGAGGAGAGCTCTGGGGCTGACCTCTTCTGAGAGCTTCTCGTCGCTCCTCGTGGCCTTGTGGGCGGCCACACTTCTAGAAGTATCTATGCAAGAGCCCTTGTTCAGAAAGAACAGTTGCTCGTCGACAACTTGGAGGCTGCTCGGTGTGTGCTTCTCGCGCCACACCGCATTCCCCTTAAGGACTTCACGACTTGTCGTAAGAAGCCCGACCCCCGGGGTGGTCTCTATCCTGTTTGGGGATACCCCTGGGTTATGCCCGAGAACTGTCCCACGTGGAGTTCTTGTGAGGACATGTTCTGGGCGTGGGTGGAGACTCTCAAGTACTCAACCACGGAGTTACGGGAACTCCATGAAGATCAGCAGCTGTAACACATCCTGGACCAGCGTGATCTTCGTGTGGGGTTTGTCCACTTGATCAGCAAGCGTATGCTGCCGAGGGACATCCTGAAGCGCGCGGCTTCTAGCGCTCACGATGAGCGCGGGTACGGTATGTATTCATCGACAGTACCCCGTTCGGGCAAGAAGCCCCGGACTACTTATGAAGCTGCCGCCGCTTCTGTTCCCAGATTGCGACAGCCTTCGGGCAGTCAATCAGGAGCCGTTCAATCGGCTCCCACGAGTTCTCGGAGTGGGCATAACCCCTCCACTTCACGAGGAGCTGTCGCTTGCCGCGACACCGTTGCTCCTGGAGGATCCGCTCCACGTGGAAGTGGACTTCTCCATTCCGGTCAAGCAGGGGCGGAGGTGCCCTCGTACGAGTACGAGTACTCGGCGCCTCCCGAGAGCCACTCTCGTCCGAGTGCTCCGACTGCGGGTCCGACACGGGACCCTGAGGTTGACCGCCTCCATCAACGTGTCCTCGTGCTTGAGATTGCACTTGGCCTTGGGACTGGCGGTAATGCTGCCGCCCAGGCCGGGAATCAGGGCGAGCTCGCTCGTCTTGCGGGCCGCCTGGACCTGGTGGAGCGAGAGGTCGCGAGCCTGCACCTGCGGGTGGATCGCCGGGCCTCTTTTTCCGATCTGGACGAGGCCTTTCGAATGATCCGACGGATCGAGGCTTTGTTGCCACGTCCGGAGCCGCCTGCGGCACACTCCCAGACGTACGCGTATGGTGCGTACCCGGCGTACCCGGCGTACTCGGCGTACTCGGCGTATGGCGCCGGGGTCCGTTCGTATGGAGCCCCTCCGGCGTACGGTCTTGACCGCAGCCTTGCCGTCCCGACCGAGGCTTGGGTGCCTGCTCCGACGCCCTCGTCGACGACTGTGACCGGCCCTCGCTTCGAGGAGCTGGGTCAAGGGGGGACTGCGAGTCAGCAACCCCCTGCGGGTCAAAGTACCGCTTAAGACGTCCGACATAGAACGTCGGGTGCGTCGTCATTGACTTTGGAAGGTCGATGGTGATCGACGCACCATGTCTGGCCAGGACTGCAAAAGGTCCGATGAAGCGGTTCTTCAGTTTGTTGCTGCCGACAGAGCTGACAGTGTCAAGAGGTAGGTTCCTCGTGTAGCAACACTAAGTCCCCAACCTCAAATATACTTAAGTTTCCTCTTCCTTGTTTGTCTGAGTACTCCTTTTGTTTATCTTGGGCCGCTGCCATGGCATCGCGGACCCTGCTGACAATGTTCAGCTTGGTATCCATAAAGGATTCCACCTGTTTCCGCAGCGAAACTGGTCTCACATCCGAGACCTGGGAGGAAAGGGCTTTCCGAGCCTCTCCCCCACTTAGAATAGAGGAGTCAGTGTCTCCTCGAAGAGTGAGAGGCACTCTGGGGTGGCGGAAGCCGTTCAAGTAGAACGGCGTGAACCCCGTGGACGCGTGCACCGCGTTGTTGAGCGCAAACTCAACAACTGGAAGCTGCGTCGACCACGCACGTGGTGCTGCCGCGCACACACTGCGCAGAGTGTCTCGAGCACTCGATTGACGCGCTCTGTTTGGCCGTCTGTCTGCGGATGGTCCGCAGTGGACATCTGCAGACGAGTTCCCAGTAGAGGGAACAGCGTTTTCCAAAACGCAGCAGTGAACCGCGGGTCTCGGTCCGAGACAATCGTCTCCGGGAGATCGTGATAGCGGAACACGCCATCGACGAACAACCTTGCGGTTTATTCGCC